TAAGGCGGCAACATAAGTTGTCATAATAGAAAAGCTGGCTATTGTGTAAGATTGTGGTTTTTATATGTATGTATCTATATGTCTGCCTTATTACATATATTCTGTTCTATTTGTGAAGCAGAATTCAGAGGCGTGTTACTTTTGAGTAAATATGATACCTAGTGATTCAAATCCCCGGAGATAATCATCCTGCCTTTTTTAACCTCTCTCTGATGTTTAACATGTCTGGTGAATACAAAGGACTTTGTTTATCAGTCACTCATGCCTGTTTCTTGTGTCTTTGGTCTCTTATTTGTCACCACCTCGAGATATGCTGCTTCTGCAGAAATTCTGGAAATGCTTGTTCCATATTTTGGGTGAAGGCAGTTTCTCTGAAGGTCAATTGGGAAATGGGCTGGTGATGAAGCATGTATCCGGAAACAGACACATCTCTATCCAAAGGAAAACCTGTCCCTGGTCACCTCCTGTCTTGACTACTACATTGTTTTCTACATAGGGCTGCCCTTGAAAAATATCTGGAAGCTTCAACTGGTTCAAAGTGCAGCGGCCCACATGGTTTATATGTGTAAATTTGCACATATGTCACCTCTCTTGGTGGATCTGCATTGGCTGCAGATTTGTTTCCGAATCCACTTTAAGATCCAGGTTGTTATCACCAAAGGCCTACATGGCCTGGAACCAGCTTATCTAAAGAACCGTCTTTTCCCAGTCATATCTACCTGATTCACCAGAGTGGGGAGGAGGAAATACTGTAGGGCCCTCTCTTAAGGAAATTCATCTAGTGAGACCAAGAATAAGGGCCTTCTCCATGGCTCCCTCCCTGTGGAACATCATCCTTGCAGAGATAAAACTGGCCCCCATTTTGATAGTCTTCCAAAAAGCCCTGAAAACATAGTTTGGGCAGTGGGCCTGAGGATAGAGTAGGATAGAGGCTGTCAACTATCTGGTCTGATTGTTGTCATCAAGGAGGTGGAAGTTTATTAGGCTTCGTATTGGAGTTTTATTTTTTTAAGCCACCCGTAGTCATTGAGAAGTATGTAGGACGACCATATAAATTTCCAGAAATCAAAATTATTGAAGCATATTGAAATCTGTAGATCAGACAGAATCCTGCTATCTCTTCAGGTAATCTGATCTTGTTGAGTATGCCAATCTCATCAACACAGGTATCACTGAACATATTAGAAAAAAATAACCTTCTAGGACAGTGAAAGGCTAAAACTAAGGAGAGCCAGATTCAAGTCATCAGCCAGGGATACTCATTGAATGACTTTGGCCAACCACTGACTCTCAGCCCAATTGATCCAAAGAATTGTAAGGAAAGATTGGAAGAATTCTGGGAGAAAAGGGAAGATAGAATAATAAAGTTGTACGGGAACTTGGAGGTCTTCTAGTCCAACCTCCTGCTCAGGCAGGAAACCCTATACCATTTCAGACAAATGGTTGTCCATTCTCTTCTTAAAAACTTCCAGTGATAGTGTACCCACAACTTCTGAGGGTAAAGTGTTGATTAATTGTTCTGACTGTTAGACATTTCTCCTTAGTTCTAGGCTGGTTCTCTTCTTGATTATGTACAGTAAATCCAACCACAACAAGACAATACACTGATGAATCAGCCAAATTTTTCTGTTGCATTTTTACTTCCAAGCTATAGCAGCTAACTCAGTGGGTTGTCTATTATTTTGGAGGGAATTTTTCCCCAGAAGGTTGGCTTTCTCCGTTGGGATACCTCTGGTATTTCAGATCTCCGGGTAATGCTCACAATCACATCCACACTTATGAAATGGTGACACAGGAAATTCCAGATTCTCAAGCATGATGAATGGATCACATGGCCCCCATTCATCTGCCACTTTTGCTTAAAAATAAAATAAACCATGGATTCATATGTACAGAGCTGAAATTTTAGCCTGATGGCTTAGAGGTCACCATTCCTACAGCCATCTCATTATCTGGCTCCCACCCAGTCGACCAAGCCTATTATCCATTTACAAAATCACTTCACAGATCAAACAGGCGGCATCCCGTGACACTCTAATGTCAGCTCACAGGATACAGTTGGTTGGCAATCACTCAAGAAGGCTGGGAATCCTGCAGGGACTCTTCTTTGTTCTTCATAACTCTCCGAACTGTAGCTTCCTCCATGACATCTATTCTTGTGTGAAACCGGCTAAGCCATTTTGCAAAACCTAATTGCCAACATAATTAAAGGATAAGAATACATGTGATCCCCTTTCCCGGTGAACGCGTAAGTCTCCTTCTAACCCTTCTCCAATTCCTTTGGAACTCTCAAGGCATTTGTCAACGACACTTTAAAAGCATCGATTACAGTGGTGCAACATGACTTTGCGAAAGAGAGCTACGCACTCCCTAATTTGGACGCGGCAGTTAAGATACTCTCCGAGAGGAATGATGCACATCATCTGACTGAACACTGGCAGCCGTAGTACAGTGTTGTAATGAGCCAGATTGGACGGCAGGAAGCACACATTTACACCAAGGGTTTCAGGACTGCCAAGATGTTTTGAGAGCCACAAGCGTTAACACCCAGATGATTGCCTGTTATCTTAAATTCAAGCTCAGATAAGTTATTCTATACCGAATGTCCTCTCTGAAGGCCTGCTAGATAGGACGAGTGGTTTCCACAACACGGGCCTAGTTCGCAATTCTTGACAGACCAATACTTTAAAGGCACAATGATTGGTGGGAGATGTCCTTCACACATGCTGACAGCCACACACTCAATCACACCGGCCCTGCTTTCCTTAGATGCGATCCCACAGAACTGTAATACATGCTCAAATTCTACAGTGTCAAAACATGGATGGTGATTTCCTGGCTTAAATCTGGCAGAAGCTACTAAGGCACTGGATGAGACATGTCTAAAAAACATTCCTCATTGCATGCTAAATGAAGTTATTTTAAATTATTCATTGTGCTCTGTCAATATGGGGATATACAAATAGTCCTCGACTTACAACCATCCTTTAGTGACTAATGAAAGTTACAACGGTTCTGAGGAAAACTGACCTATAATTGTTTTTCACACTTAACAACCTTTGCAGAATCCCCATGGTCATGTGATCAAAATTCAACATTTGGTAATTGTCTGTTATTTATGATGGTTGCAATGTCCCAGGGTCTCGTGATCACTTTTTGCAAACTTCTGACAAGTAAAGTCAATGGGGAAGCCAGATTCACTGAAAAGTCATGTTACTAATTTAACAACTGCAGTGAATCATTTGTGGCAAGGAAGGTCATAAAACGGAGGAAAACTCACTTAACAATTGTTTCACTTAGCAACAGAGGTTTTGAGCACCATTGTAGTCGTAAATTGAGAATTACCTGTAGTTCTGTACCTGCATAAATTTAACTCCAGTGCTTCCCCCCACCCCACCTCCCCACCCCCACCCCCACCCCGATTTCTCATGACTTATTAGACATTTTGTTTGCATTCTTCGGATTTTAGGCTGGGTGATGTTTGTTGAAATAATTGTTTTTCTTGCAAATTATAAGATATAGGAGAATATTTGTAGCTCAGGGTTGAAATTTATTTATTAAATTTATTTATTTATTTATTAAATTTATATGCCGCCCCTCTCCGGAGACTCAGGGCGGAAATGAGGGGTCCTTGGTGCTCTCTGAGCTTGGTAGTTTCATTATCCAAACAGATTACTAATGGTGTTACCTAATTTGGATGATGAAACATCTGCAATAAAACAACCAAGCTCAGAGAGCACCAAGGACCCCTCAATCTCTAACATACCAGAGATGGTTCCAATTGCACAGGCAAAGTTGATGACAACTTTCCACAATCTAGTACTCTCCAGACATGATAAGCAAAACTGCTAGGTCGTACAGATATACAAATATACTGTGATCGGTTGAGGCACAGTGTGTTCTAAACAGCAATGTGACTGTTGGAAGAGACTTTCTCATCTATCCTACAACTGCTCCCATTTTAGATTTGGCCTACTGGCAGGTTAATAACCTCAAAACACACTGAGGTAAAATATCTGTCCCAGATACTTAACATATTGTGCTGTGTTTCAAAAGCAGAAATCTGAGTCATAATTCTTGCAAAGAAACTGGGAGTACAACACACATCTGTATCATCAATTATAAGAGAAGACAATAGATACATCTGTACTATCTGAATCCAGGCTGTCAAAATTATTCCCCAAGAATATATGTTGCATACCGACAATGTTTTCTCTCAGTTCATCTGTTGACATAATATCCATCCTTACTTTTCCTACTAGAAGTAAGTTTCCTAGAACAGGAGAAGGATTGTGAGAGAGAATCTGGTTTCCCTCAGGATTGGCAACCATCAAGGATATATTTATTCTATTTTGTCTCATTCATAATTATTCTGGAAAGATTTTATGTTTTCAATACCTACAAATCTTTATAATTCTACTGAAGAAGGAGTTATGCCATGCATGGGACACCTAATTTCTGAAGAAACTATGTCCCATCTTTTAGCCATGAAGTTCTTAGAATAATTCTTGTACAGATAATCCTTGATTTACAACCATTTGTTTAGTGACCATTTGAAGGTCCAATAGCACTGAAAAAAAGCATTTTTAAAATGACTGTTTTCAACACTTAGAATCATTGCAGTTTTTCCATGATCACACGTTCAAAATTTAGAAGCTTGCCAAATGGCTCATATTTATGGAAGTTGCAGTGTCCCAGGGACAGAAGCAAAATCAATGGGTAAACCAGATTCACTTAATAACCATATGACCAACTGAACAACAGTAGTGATTCACTTAACAACAGTGGCAAGAAAGGGCATAACATGGGATGCTAGCTAGTGAGGTGCTACTCACAAATGTCTTGCTTAGCAACAGAAATGTTGGGGGTCTATTGTAGTCATAGGTCGAGGATTACCCGTAATCAGCCCTTAGACACTAGAAGCTGCAGTGAAGATATGGAAGGAACACTTCCCCCCCCCCACATACACATACACACCCCAAATGTCTTGCAGTACTTACCACCAGGTTTCCAATTACCATAACCAGCAAAAACACCAGGAGACACAGTGGCTGACCAACGACTTTCATGCAGTCCCACATAGTTTCAATCCATTCTCCACAAAGGATGCGGAAGATGATGAGGAAAGAATGGAAAAAGTCCTTCATGTGCCAGCGTGGTAGCATTCCGTTGCTGCTGATTCTGCTGACGTTCTTGTAGTACAATTCTCCAAAGAGCTGCATCCCAACCACGGCGAAAATGAAGACAATGATGGCTAAGACAAGGGTAAGATTTCCCAAGGCTCCCACTGAGTTTCCAATTATTTTAATAAGTGTATTTAATGTTGGCCAAGACTTTGCAAGCTTGAAGACCCTCAGCTGTAAGGGAAAAAAAATCACAAAAATGTAACTAAGAGAAGTCAAGGACCACTGAATGATATTAATCTGGGTGGATGGATGGAATATACAAGTAGTTCTCAATTTACAACTGTTTGTTTAGTGACCGTTTGAAGTTACAATACCCCTGAAAAAAGTGATTTATGAACATTTTTCACACAACTATTGCAGCATTCCCCATGGTCACTTGATCAAAATTCAGACCCTTGGCAACTGGCTCATATTTATGACAGTTGCAATGTCCCAGGGTCATGTGATCCTCTTTTGCAACCTTCTGATAAATAAAATCAATGGGAAAATCAGATTCACTTAACATCCATGTTATTAACTTAATAACTGAAGTGATTCATGTAACAGCTATGACAAGGAAGGTCGTAAAATGGGGCAGAACTCACTTAAGAACTGTTTCACTTAGCAACAGAAATGTTAGACTCAATGATGGTCCTAAATTGAGGACTCCTGTAAACTGAAGAAGATGAAGAGCCGGTGTGGATTAAAAACAAGGATATGAGTTATGTTGCTCTACCCTTCACCTTCTGTTCATATATAACCTTTAGTATGTGGAAAAGAAACAAACAGCAGCCCAAATTTGCATGTGGTGGGCATAACTCTCACACCTGTCTCAATTAGTGGTGCTTTGAATGAACCCTCTTATCTTTATTGAGATGAGACTCCTTTCCTGTCTCCCAAAGCTTTAGTAAAAGACAAGCAATTGGGGGAGGGGGGAGGGAGATTTGCAGGGAGTTTGAAGGTCTATAGGGGATACGACAATGAAATTACAACTTGAACTGGGAAGAGTGGGCAGGTATTTGGCTCACTTGGACCAAGGTTCAAAACAGAAGTGCTAACCTTAGATGGTAACATCTAAATGATCTTGTTTCTTCTCAAAAAGGTTAAGTGGACTTGGACCTGGCTATTGCTTGAAAGAGAGTCTGCAAAAAGATCTTTAGAGTGGGAAGTTGGGGGGGGGAGGGAAACATGCTGAAAAAAGGCAAAAGTAAACCACTACTCTACTGTTGCCAAGAAATCTGCAGAAATATCTATGAAGCTATTGAAAGATAAACAAAATGTCAGGAAAACTTTACTTACCGCTTCTATATCATAGCTATTTGATGGCTTGCTGTGTTTTTAAAGAGCAAACATTCTGATTTCACCTACTCCCCTACAAATAAGCATTGCAATCTTGAAAATCTAAGGGAACTGTAAAAATGGGGCTGAGGGCATCATGAAAGCTATGGAGCACAGCTTGCTGACGCATACCCACAAATGCCAATATGGGCATGAACTAAACTCTTTGCTTGGATAAACTAGTCCCAATCATTTACACAACAGAAGACTATTATAACACACTCTATGTGGGGCTATCTTTAGGCTTTGTCTGAATACTGTAGTTGATGCAGAAAGCAACTACACTGAACTGTGCCTGAAGCAAACATGAATGAAAGCCAGGCTCAAAGGTTGCATTTATGGCATACACGTTAGTCTTCAGGTTACAACAATTTGTTCTATTCAACGTTATGAAAGTGCTGAACAGGTGTTACTTACAAAAGGTTCTTGTAGTTCAGGTTACCCCTGTATCGCCACAATTATGTGATTGCAATTATGCCTCTGCTCTTAGTGCCTAGCTCGTGCTTACAACATCACATCGAACTGCAGTCATGTAATTGCAGGTTCCAACATTTTCTGCTGGCTTTCCATGAGCAAAGACAATGGGGAAGCCAGAAGGAAATCGCAGTCAAATCAGATCCTAGTTTAAAGATCTGTAGGGCCTCACTTAACGACAGCAAATAGGATTGCTAAAATTGCTGTTACTAAGTGACAAATCCATATGACATCAGGCTTTACAACCATGTTTCTTAGTGATGGTAACAACAATCCTAATTGCCATTATAAACCAAGGATCTCCTATCTAAAGGATGGTAAAGCTTGGGACTAGGATACCTGGTTGATCGTTATCCTCTCTTATAGATTGGGGTAATGACAAAGAACATCAGATAAGGTGGCGCTGCATTTGTAGGACTGAAAGAGTGATTTCTTGCTGTTGTTTGTGGATCAATCTTCTCTACCTTGCCACTTGCCCTCTGGATTATTGGTACTGCTCTCAGTATACTGCTTTGAGATAATTAACATGAAAAGAGATATAAAACTAAAACTAAAGGTCCATTGTCCAGTTATGTCCAACTCTAGGGTCAGTGCTCATCTCCTTTTCTTAGCCAAAGAAGCCAATGTTGTCCAAAGATTGTTCCATGGTCAAGTGACCAGCATGGCTACATGCCAAGGAGCGCGGAACACTATTATCTTCCCACCAAAGTGGTATCTATTTATCTACTTGCATTTACGTGCTTTAAAACTGCTAGGAGGAGCTGGGGCAGGTAGTGGGAGCTCTCCCCATCAAGACAGCGCTCGGGTCTTGAACCCAAGCTGTCAGCTTTCCTGCTGACAAGCTCAGTGTCTTTAACCACCGTATGGCATGAATCTATTTTAAATAAATCAGTATTTGCTATGCAGATTATTTTGAAAAGAGCACAACGATGTTCACCCGTAATTATCATATGTCAAACTGCCTACATCAACATGGTACCCTTGAGATGAATTGTAGCTTTCAGGCCCTTTGAGAGATCAGGGTAAGTTGAGTCAGTAGTTGCTGCTATAGTACAGTTAAATCAGTGTAGTCGTGTGGCTCACTGTAGGAAATTAGATGAAATGGTAAACATGGATAAGGACTTAAAAGATGTCACATACAAGAAAGGAGATAAAGTGCAGATAGTCCTCAACTTACAACCATTACATCGAACTGTAATTCAATGTTACAGTGGCACTGAAAAAAATGACTTATGACCATTTCTCACACTTACGTATTGCAGCCTCCCCATGGTCACGTGATCAAAATTCAGGCACTTGACAACCGGCTCATATTTCTGATGGTTGCAGTTTGCCAGGGTCACGTGATCACCTTTTGCGACCTTCTGACAAGCAAAGTCAATGGGGGAGCCAGATTCACTTAAAAACCATGTGACTGACTTAACACCTGCAGGGATTCACTTGAGAACGGTAGCAAGAAAGTTCATAAAATGGGGCAAAATTCACTCAGCAAACAGCCTTGCTGACTAAAAGAAATTTTGGGTTCAATTGTGGTTGTAAGTGGAGGACTACCTTTACTACTCTGTATGCAATTTTATTTTATTTTAATCCTGCTAAAATTGTTGCAAAGGCTTTGCATTTTATGTCTCAGAGAAAAAGAGAAAGGTAAAATATTTTACCAGTCTAAAGGAGCGTAACACAGACACATTTCCCATGCTGGAAAGGCTTAGTTCCATCAAACTTAGCGTGACAATTATACTGTCAAAAATATTCCAGCCTTGCTGAAAATAATAATATGGATCCAATGCTATAACCTTAAACACCATCTCAGCCGTAAAAATCCCAGTGAAGATCTGCAAAAAGAAACAGGATATTCAGCGTAAGCAGGATTGCCTTGTTATGGGTGGTTTCCCAGATTAATGAGGACACAGCTTATGTTGTACTTGGAGAAGGCAGCACTGGCCATTCTATATGTTTGATAGCAAACCACAGGATTGTTTAAAAATCTAAATACTGCCATATATTTGGCTCAGAAATAATTTGAGCTATCCCTTATTTCTTCACCACAATCACTCAATCGTTTTATTTTTGAAGAATTGAACCTTTCCTTGGGTATTTATTCCAATGCCCTTTAATTCTCATCCAAGAATCCACCCTGAAATCTTAATACCTTATTAATTAATCATTACATGCACAAAAGTCTCTTTTGCTTATACTAATAAATAATACTGGGTCCAATTCTGATCACCACAATGGAAAAAGGATGCTGAGGCCCTAGAAACTGTGCAGAGAGAAGCCAGAAAGTTGATCAGGGTCTGGAACCTAATTGTACGATGACCAGTTGAGAAAAATAGGAATGTTTAGTCTAATGAAGAGAAGGACTAGAGGGGACAAGATATCTGTCTTCTACTCCTTCATGGGCTGCCACAGAGAAGATGGGATTGACTTATTCTCCAAAGCAGCTGAAGGTAGGACAGGAAGCAATGGGTGAAAGCTTGTTCAAGAGAGATCCAACCTAGAAATAAACAGAAATTTCCTGACAGCGAGAACAATGGAATAGCTTCTCTCCTGGAGTCATGAGTGTTCCCTTGCAGGAAGTCTTCAAAAATAGACTAGACAACCATTTGACCTAGATGGTATAAGGTCTCCTCTCTTGAGCAGGGAGTTGGACTAGAAGATCTCCAAGGTCCCTTCCAGCCCTATGATTCTGAGTAATCATGGATGTCTGGGTAAAAAGAGTAGTCCTCCTTCACATAAATTTCTGCATTTGGTAACATCTCAGCAATTTTGAAAATACAGCTATCGATAGAAGTCAATATTTGTAACTCAGGGTTGAAATGCGGGGTCCTTGGTGCTCTCTGAGCTTGGCTGTTTTCTTGCAGGTATTTCATTACCCAACAATTACCCAACTAACACTGATGTTATCTAACTGAGTAATGAAATGTCTGCAAGAAAACAATCAAACAATCAAGCTCAGAGAGCATCAAGGAACCTAAACTCACAAATGTTATTTACAGTTAATGCCCTTAAAAGTTATATAAGAGATGATATATATATATATAAGAGATAATTTAGTCAAACTGCAAAAAGTATTCCATATTTTAGACCCCCTCCCCACTATGTGAGGTCTCAAGGGATGATAGGCATTTGCAACCCATAGGGCACACTTTTTTAAACCCTTAAATTAGGCCACAATTTTGCAACTTTGGCTGTTCATCATCTGTGAAGGACAGGAAAAACAGGAAGAGAGTTTAATAGGAAATAAAGCTATCAATTGTTATTAGCTTATATAGCTAAAGCACCATCTCTTTGTGGCAAGCAATATCCTTTTATTTATTTTCCTTTTTGTGACCAGGAGCTACATGGGTCAGAATGACGATGTACTGACGTCACATGAAGCACAGAATTTTGGGTTATCTTCCCCCATTTTTTGTTTCTAAAACTAATAAATGCTACTAGCATAAAACTAATAGCATGGTTTTAATTTTTTAAAACTTTTATTCTTTTTTAATGAATTTTGTAGCATTTCTAAAATATTTTGTACTCTTTTTTTTTTTTTTAACCTTGTTACCTTTTCAGAGTCACAGGAAGACTGGAGGCTAAAACATATGAAGAACTTTTACAAGAACTGGATATGTCTAGTCTAATGAAGAGAATGAGTAGGGGTGACATCATAGCTGAGAGGCTACACAAAAAAGAGTGAATCAACCGATTCTCCAAAGCACTTGAAGGCAGGACAATAAACAATGATGGAAACTAATCAAGGAGAGAAGCAACCTAGAACTAAGGAGAAATTTCCTGTCAGTGAGAACAATTAATCAGTGGAACAACACTCCAGAAGTTGTGAATGCTCCAACACTGGAGGTTTTCAAGAAAAGACTGGACAGTCATTTGCCCAGAATGATAAGGGTCTCCTGATTAAGTAGGAGGTTGGACTAGAAGACCTCTAAAGTCCCTTTTAACTCTGTTATTCTGAGTGAGATGGGCAGCCATATACATTTAACAATAAATAAAAATAAATGAGTAAATCTCTGCACTATGAACAGAGATGACAATAATAAGACACACCCACAACATACTGTATGACTGACCATTGTTAAATATAGGCAACTGGGTTTACATAGGCTCTTGATCTGCTCCATCATGTCATTTCATTTATCTTCCTGTTGGAATGAATTATTCATTTCCAAACCAGATGCGCTGAGATAGTAATTCCCAGAGCATGATTAAAAATAATTCTGGGAGACATGGTCCAAACATACCTGAAGACAATCAGTTGGAGGAAGGGAACAAGACACATGAAACATGACCTACGTACCAGATTCCCAACGTTGAGCACCTCCTCAAATTCTTTGGTCATCTTGTAGTGGTCCATGGCCATGAAAAGTGTGTTCAGCACAATGCAAAGGGTGATTGTGAGGTCGCTGAAAGGATCCATAATGACGAACTTAATTTTCTCCTTGATCAAGAGCCACATTGGGCAGCAATCCCATATGAGAAATCTTACTGCAAAGTGATGCCAGCAAGGAGGACATTTCTGTTGAGATTCCTCAAGCTCTAAGTAAGAGGGAACAGAACATGTGGTGGGTAAGTAACAGTAGTTGGAAGCAGGAAAGGAAATAAATGCATTTACTGCAATGTTCAGCAAATTTTATTTATTCATTTACAAAGGGTTTCATATATTTCAACCTATTCAGGATCAGATACTTATAGTATCCAATTTTAGTCATATGATTGTCATTTACAACTTTCTTGTCAGCTTCCCAAAAGCAAAGTCAATGGGGAAGCCAGCAGGAAAACTCATAATTTGCTCCAGCAAATCACTCCCATTAGCAATAACCCCCAAGTCCTTGCCAACCTCCTTTGACATACACACAGCAAGCTAGGCCTTCCTAGCCTCCCCTACCGCCCAAGGGAAATCCTATGCTCCTTACTTGGGATTTCTGCCATTTGTGTCGGGTGCAAAAAATCCGGACCATAAATTAAATTGCAGTTTGTTTGTTTATTTATTTATTCATTTGTTTGTTTGTTTGTTTATATTTATATACCGCCCTTCTCCCGAAGGACTCGGGGCGGTGAACAGCCAACAGATAAAACACAAGAAATACAAAATTTAAAAACAGTATTAAAATCCAATTAAATTAATTTAGCCCACAATTAAAAACACCCCTATATTTAAACCCATAATTAACAATTTAAAAATTAAATAATTTTAAAAGAGTTAGGCCAGCCCGGCTTGCTGGAATAAAAACGTCTTTAGGGAGTGGCGAAAGGTGCGAAGATCTGGGATCCGCCGTATCTCCGGGGGCAGCTCATTCCAGAGGGTAGATGCCCCCACAGAGAAGGCTCTCCCCCTGGGGGCCGCCAGTCGACATTGTTTGACCGACGGCACCCTGAGGAGCCCCTCTCTGTGGGAGCGTACTGGTCGGTGGGAGGCTATCGGTGGCAGAAGGCAGTCTCGTAAATACCCGGGTCCTAAGCCAATAGTTCAAAAGATCTATTGCTCAATCTATTGCTTATATACAAGAATCCAGTCAATTAAAGTTCAGTACTAAATTGGTGCCAGGTAAGGGTCAATACATTTCAAGAGGGGTTGGATTTAGATATCTGTGGTAACATAACGAGTATAGACACTCACTTAAACCCTCCCCCCCTGCTCTTCTCCTACAATTTGCTTCTTAACGGTCTACGCATCTTGGGGTTATGATAGCAACAAGAAATGCCAGGATTGTTATCACTAAACCATGTAGTCACATGACACTGCACTTTATAAAAGCATCATTTAGTGACAACAATCCTGGTCTCAATTGTTGTAACCTGAGGACTAGCTGTATCTTTGTCTTTCTGTGTAGAAATATTACATTTTTAATTTCTGTACTCATCCTTAAGATGACTTGCATCATCTTCATATAAATATATGCCAAAGTTGTATTTGCTCTTTTACTTAATTATCTTGTATTTGAAAAAAGAATTGGATGTGCTTCTTTCATTTAAAAAAGCAATGAAATTTTAAAAGAGTCAAGATATGTTTTTCAGAATGTGATAATTGAAGCCGCAAAGAATAAAGATCTGTATGCCTTCAGACACTGCTAAAACACAATTCCTAACATTGTCTGCCACCGGCTAAACTGGACAGGGCTCTTACGAGCTGTAATCTGGCATCATCTGGATGGAGGGCTATAACTTCCATAGCCTTGGCACAGAACCAATCCTAAATGCCTCCCTCTTTTCTTGCCCTTATCTTTTCCAATTTTACATCTAAGTAGACCGGATACAGAATTACCCCTGGGAAACTGTGGCTGAAAAGGAAGTTCCAGTATGCAATGAAGCATATACAGACAGCCCCTGATCAAAATTTTGGAATTTTGAACATTTTGCAATCTTCCAACAAGCAAAGTCAATGGGGAAGCCAGATTCATTTAACAACCACATTATTAACTTAACAATTGTAGTGATTCATTTAACAACTGTGACAGGAAAGTTCGTAAACTGGGACAAAACTCACTTAAAAACTGTCTTGCTTACCCATAGACGTTTTGAACTCAATTGTGGTTGTAAGTTGAGTACTCCCTATACTCTTTGAACAGGTAGACCCAGTTATTGATGAGATACATTAGGAAGGGCAAAACCAATGGTGAAATCCAAATTTTTTTACTACTGGTTCTGTGCGTGTGGCTTGGTGGGCATGGCAGGGGAAGGCTACTGCAAAATCTCCATTCCCTCCCACTCTAGGGCCAGCTAGAGGTGGTATTTGCCAGTTCTCTGAACTGTTCAAAATTTCCGCTACCGGTTCTCCAGAACCTGCTGGATTTCATCCCTGGGCAAAACTATCTGATATGAAAAGTATCCAGAGAATCATCGACAAGGGGAGCATCTAACAGTTGTGTGTCATCACCAAAATAACCTGCAGAATGCTATAACAATGATATCTATGCGCTTTGTAAGGCAACTTCCACGCTATAATAAGTGATTACATTCTGGCCATATTATATAACTTACTTACTTCTAAGTTGATATTTATACAACTGCTGTGTGTAATTCTGAGCTGCTAAGAGTTAACCTAATGTTGCTTCTGAATGAAACAATATAAAATCCTATTATGAGGAGATTAGCAGGATTTCTTTCCCAAAGGTTAAATAAAGATCTCTTAGAGCAGCTTTCATTTAGGACACATTCCCCACATACATCTGATGCACTGTGACTGCAACCCCCAGAGCTTAAGAAATGCTGCATAGGAATTCTGGGTGTTGTAGTCCCAATGCATCTGGAAGCTGTTAGATTAGAGGAAGGCTGATATAGAATATGCTGCCATCCAACAAGCATCAGCAAAGTGGTACATGACTTGGTATTCTATTCTTTACGACCACAAGTGGGATCAGAATTTCCATTATAAGTCGTGGTGGCCCTAAATCAATTTTATAACCATTGTTATGTCGATCATTATGGAGGTTAAATGAATCATATGGTCATTAAGTGAGCCTGCTTCTCCCCAATTTCTGATTTTGCCAGAAAACAGCAAGAAAAGTCACAAATCATGATCATGTCACCACAGGATACTGCAACTGGCAATAAATGCGAGCCAGCTGCCAAGTGCTTAGATTACAATTACATGAAGACCTTGGAGGGCAGTGCGATGATTGTAAATGTAAGTACAGATCATAAATCACTTTTTCTGAGGGCACTGTAACTTTCAATGGTCACTAAACAAACAGTCATAAGTCAAGGACTGCCTATATCATGATATTTCTGACATTCTAGTTCAGGAGTCTCCAAACGTGGCAACTTTAAGACTTGGGGACAAACTCCCAGAATTCCTCAGTCTGCCACAATAGCTGAGGAGTTCTGGGAGTTAAGTCCTAAAGTTGTCAAGTTTGGAGACGCCTGTTCAAGGTAGAGTATCACAGGGAAGTCTTACCTTCCAGGGCACTGGTGATGATGCTAACAGCACTGACAGCACGTTGCCTTTGAAAGTGTTCCTCAGGATGCTCCATAGAAAGGCGGTGGGGTGATAAAAGCTGCCTCTTGTTCACGTCTTCAGAAAGGGAGGTCTAGGTCAAGAAACATACCCATGAATAGCTCATGTAAGCCAAACAATGCATATCTTATGTCCTTGAATATGATTTTTATTTTTTCATTGGTTTGCCTTTATTACCACACCTACAGAATTTCCAAAGAAGTGAAGTCTCTGGTATGAACAGTTTCATCACAGCAAAAAGATTAATAGCTAGTTGTGATTGAAGGGAAAATGGGCAGTGATCCATAATTAAAAAACAGGCATTATTCTTCCCCCTGGTTGTTAAGATATAACAGCAGCATAGAAATAATAGCCAGAATGTCAGCTTGGAGGACACCAGAAGCACAGATTGTAGCTCAATAAGTTCCTGAGACTGGTAGCTGCTAGCCCTCATTCACTATTCTATCTCAATTTCTTATACCACGTTCAGCCCAATACACAAAGAAGGAAAATTCAGACACTTGGCAAGTGGGTCACATTTGTGATGGTTGCAGTGTCCCAGGGTCATGTGATCATCTTTTATGACCTTCTGAGAAGCAAAGTCAATGGTGAAGGCAGATTCACTTAACAACCATATTACTAATTTAACAATTTCAGTGATTCACTTAACAATTGTGGCAAGAAACATCATAAAATGGTGCAAAATTCACTTAATAGCTGTCTTGCTCAGCAACAGAAATTTTTGGCTCAACTGTGGCCATAAGTCAAGGACTACTTATATATAGTTATGTTGGCTGTAATGAACAAATCTAGGTTACCATCCCCACCCCACCCCCTGGAAGTCATTAGGAAAGAGTCTACGCTTGCTAAAGGTAACTCAGTTTTTGTTCTCTTGTGGTAGTTAAGAACTCCCTGTAGTGCCTATTCATCTATCACTTTTGGCAAGCAGGAGATCTTTGTTTTTCCAAACTCCATTTCTGCTAATGTTTCTAAATGACACATAGATGCTAGCAGGTGTAGTAATTGTAGGAGTGGATCTATGGCAGTCATGGGTTGTGTTTTGCAGAATAGGAGATATGCCGGATATGTCTAAGATGGCTGAACTGTTTAACACAAATCTACTCTGGAAGACATTTCCTCTGATGAAAAGGCTGCTGGCACAATGCCACCCAAGCATAAATAATGTGGAAAGAAAGTTGTGTACCAACTGACAGAGTAAAAAAAAAAAGAATGCACAGCTCCAAAGTTATATAGAAAAGTTCCCTTGGCTCATATTTCACACTGAATTAAAATTATCAGTCTGTCCATTTTAACAAATTCCAGAACAATACTGGCAAATGATTAGAACACAAGTAGAAGAAATCACACAACGAAGATTAGAAATGAGACCGGAAACCTTTCTTCTAGGTATAATAAATGGACAATATGAAAGGAAATAAAATATTTAATCATCCATATAATAACAGCAGCATGAATCATTTTTGCACAAAATTGGAAGAGTAGTGACACACCGACAGAAGATAGAGTAATTAATAAGATTATGGAATGTGCAGAAATGGACAGACTTACAAAAGAATTACAAGATAAAGAGGAACATGATTATTATCTAGTATAGGAAAAGTGGTATACCTGGTTGAAAAATAGAAAAAGGAAAAAAGAATAGGGAGTAATTGGAGTTACAGAAACAGGAACATAAATCATTAACATAAATTAACAATGAATCATAAAGATAGATATACGAGTAAGATCAAACAAGGAAGAGTCAAAACACAAATAAGAACATACATTACTGTTGTTTATTTGACAATATATATTTGACAAAATGTATATTTGAAATCTTTGTTTACATGTTTTGTTCTGTATGTTTTGTTGTCACTAGTTCTGTTTTGTTTGTACTTTTAAACAAATAAAAATTTATTTAATTAAAAAAAGTCATTTTACTAATTTAAAAAAAAAAGAATGCTCCTTGTTATGACAAACACATGTTTCTAAATCGAAAAGATCTTTCAGGGAATATGGCTCAGTTCTCATTAGATCAGAGATGGGCATTAAGTAATTTTATTTGTTTATTTATTTATTTGCACCCAGCTTTTATTTTACAAATAACTCATCATGGTGAACATACCTAATACTTCTTCCTATCTTCCCCACAACAACAAACCTGTGATCTGGGTTGGACTGCAACAGAGTAACTAACTCAAAGTCACCTGGTTGGCTTTTATGCCTAAAGTGGGACTAGAACTCACTGTCTCCTGGTGATTGGCCCGAAGTCCCCCAGCGAGCTTTCATACCTAGGGCAAAACTGGAACTCACTGTCTCCTGGTTTCTAGTCTGATGCCTTAACCACTAAACATAACTAGCTCTTATTAATTAAAGTCAGAAGTGAATTAAGCATCTGTACTAATGTTTTTCTCTAATTCAATATTTTTTTGGTACCAAGGAACTGGTTTTGGGGAAAACAATTTTTCTACAGATTGGCGATGGGGGCAGTGAGGAAGGGGAATGATTTCATGCGCTACTTAGCTCCCACACATGTGCAGATGAAACTTGCATGGACTGGTTCCTAATAGGCCACGGCCCGGTTCCGGACTGCAGCCTGCGGGCTGGGACCTCTGCACTAATTTATAGCATGTTTCTCATTTCTTCTGTTCATTGCAGATGGAGAAGGTAAAACCATAAATTTTATTTATTTATTTAATTTATTTATTGGAATAAAAATACAATGACAGGGACGATAGGCACTTATGCACATTCCCTCTAAGTACCACTTAGTATGAAGTAAGGTCCAGGGAAGTCAATTTGTGACTGAAACTATGAAAATTTGTAGCTGAGACAACTGAATCAGGTAGGACAACTCTAGTAGAGAAATCATATTTTTACAGTCAAGTTTAGAACGATTTACATTGAGTTTACAGCGGTTGCTCGCACATGTATTATTGCGATTAAAACAGAAAAAGTCATTTACAGGTAAAACATTACTATGTACAATTTTGTATGCAATACCTGCGTCTGACTGCAAGCCACGCAGTTCTAAGTTATCCAAACCGAGAATTTCGAGTGTATTAGCATAAGGAATTCTATTGTGTATAGAAGAGTGCAAGACTTTTCTCATTAAGTACTTCTGAACCCGCTCGATTGTACTGATGTCAGTTATATGGTGGGGATTCCAAACAGTTGAACAATATTTGTGAGGAAAACATTTGTGAGGAAAAAACCTCACAATAAATCAACTCTTCAATAAATAAAAAAAATATTCAATTTAGTTCTTTTTTCTGAAACAAACACCATTGTTAATAAATAGGTATTCTTTTTAGTGTCTATCATTATTTGTTTATGGATGTAAGGTATTACTTTTTCCTGGCAGCTGCAAAAATAACCAGTTGATCAGAAATCAAAATGGTAACTGCCAATTTTCCACTTTCAAAATGAAGCAGTGACCAACATATGCTAAGGAAACTAGAACAGCTAGGATGAACCAGCAAAAGCATTTCTGTTCTTTCTCACACTCACAAACAACAGAGTTCAAGAGGGAACATTACATTTTGAAATGTATGCAAATAATAAAATTATAATGAACTCATAAAATCAAAGAAGTTTTCAAAGGTGACTCTCAACAAAATACTGTGAATTTTTAAAAGAAATTGTTAACATCACATAGAATAGGACTGAGGAGATGATAAGGCAGCTGTTGTTGAAAAAATTTCCCATAATTTATGTAATGGCAATGTGTGATGAATTTATATGTATGATCATTATGCAAAGGCAGAAAAAAAGCTTACATCAGAAAACTTCATGGTAAAAAGCACCTGCGCTTAGTAAATATGGTTTTAAGAAAGCTTGCCATAGATTTATATTAAAAACTATGTACTGTGGGAGATGTTTAATTCAAAACTTCTTGTCTAGAGAAAGTTGCAAACTACAATTTAATGCAGATTGTTTTAAAAAAATTATTTGCCTAAAAAAAAAAAAAAGAATTAAAATACTACTCAATATTAACTTAGAAAAAAAGAAATGACTTGAATTCAGCTGATATTTATCTTCCTATGATAGATTAGCACAACTTTTCATAAGTATTGGTAGTACAAGCTTCGGTGATTGTCATTGTTAACTGCATTATTATATTAATATATTTTATTGTATTTTATGCTAGCTTTTAGTTTATTAATATTATAGTTTCATAAAGTATTAAGCATATGTGTAAACAGTAAAGCTACTGGCTTCATTTTGCTGCAGGTGGTACTAAAGATTGGCATGTTAAGATAAATTCCATTTGAAATATTTTTTGCTTACATATTTATGCAACGATTGATCCCTATGCAATTTGCACCAAAATACTTTGAGCGGGAATGAGTTGTTTTTTTAAAAAAAAACTCTTTTTAGACACATATCTTGAGGAAGATCATACAGCAAGATATCTGTACCAAAATAGTCTAAGCCAGGGATGTCACTCAATTTCATTGAGGGCCACATCAGGGTTGTGTTTGATAAATAAATAAATAATAAATAAATAATTTTATTTCTATACCGCTCTTCTCACAAAGGACTCAGGGCGGTGTACAGCCTATTAAAAGCACAAAGACAGACATCAGTTAAAAATAATTAAAATTATTAAATAATTTCGGCTCAGATTTAAAAACCCAAAAATTTAAAACACCCAATTTAAAAATCATTACATTGATAGCCCGGCTTGGCAGAACAGCAGGGTCTTGAGGGCACAGCGAAATACACGGAGGTCGGAGATCTTACGCATTTCCGGGGGCAGTTCATTCCACAGGGCAGGGGCTCCCACAGAGAAGGCCCTCCCCCTGGGTTTCGCCAGCCGACATAATTTGGCTGATGGCACCCTGAGGAGACCCTCTCTGTGGGAGCGGACTGGCCGGTGGGAGGCTGTTGGTGGCAGAAGTCGGTCTCGAAAGTATCCGGATCCTATGCCATGGAGCACTTTAAAGGTGGTGACCAACACCTTGAATCGCACCCGGAAGACCACTGGGAGCCAGTGCAGCTCGCGCAGGAGGGGTGTCATGTGGGCACAATGGGTTGCGCCCATAACCACCCGCGCGGCCGCATTCTGGACCAGCTGGAGCCTCTGAGTGC